CAAGTATTTGTGCCAAATTTGGTCCAGTGAATGAAAATACATCCTGCATATTAGATATTTACATTATTTTTCATAACAGTAGCAACATTGCAGTTATGAAGTAGCAGCAAAATTATGTTATGGTTGGGTGTCACCACAACATGAGGAACTGTATTAAGGGGTCGCAGCATTAGGAAGGTTGGGAAACACTAGGCTGTACTTGAAAGGAAGAAACTGGGGGGTGGGGAACACTTCTATTTCTTGCCTAAGAAAATCCTATGAAATTCATGGGGTCACCAGAAGTTGATAGGTTATCTGAATGGACACACACATACACACACAGGTTGTAATGAATAGTAATAAAGGAAATGCTTGAGATCCTGCATCAGGATCTGAAAATGATTCCTCAGGCTAGATATACACTGTCCTATATCCCAGGATCTGATCCCAGATTATCTGACAGTGCAGACTCATACAATCCAGTACAAATCAGAGCTATCTCAGGATCAGATCCTGGGATATAGGACAGTGTAGATCCAGCCCCCGCTTGCCAATCTAAGTGCTGGAAAGATGGGATACACATTGGTTGGACAACTACAGGGACTCCAATTAGGCAGCTGGATCCTATGCCACATGATCTCATGTCCCTGGCATGTTTCAAGGATTTTGAGCATGACTCAGCCCAAAATGAATCTCTTTCCAAGGGTGCTGGATTCTCCCCATTCAAATAAACAGGATCTGACGGTGCTTCACTCCAGTGCCACCACTCCCAGATGGAAAACGAGCATCATGCAAGAAAAAAAGGGTCAAACACTTGGCAGAAAACCATCTGGATGTGAGTTTGGTTGATTTCACCAAGGAGGGTGAACAAATCTTTCCACAAGTAATTTTGAGGCTATTTCTGCACTGTACCTACAAAGCCTATTTCGAGTCTTGTTTCAGGGCCCTTCCACCCAGCCATATAACCCAGAATTATCAAGGCAGATAATCCACAATATCTGCTTTGAACTGGGTTATCTGAGTCCACACTGCCAGTTCAGTGTGGATTTTATGCAGCTGTGTGGAAGGGGTCTCAAATTCAAAGTGCTGTTTTTGACTTATAAAGCTCTATACGGTTTTGACCCAGCTTACTTGTCTGAACGCATCCACCCCTACTCCCCACCTCGTAATCGAAGATCATCCGGGGAGGCCCTGCTCTTGCTCCCGTCAGCACCACAGATGCGTCTGGTGGGGACGAGAGACAGGGCCTTCTCGGCTGTGGCCCCCTGCCGATAGAACACACTCCCAAATGAAACAAGATCGGCTTCTTCCCTCCTGGCTTTTAGGAAGAAATTAAAATCGTGGTTTTGAGACCAGGCTTTCCAACAGCAGATGTAAGTAGCACTTAGATGGACATTGACTGGAACGGCGACATGGCTAATGAGACTGTTTTACTGCTTTTTTAATGTTTTAATTATTGCTTATGTATTGTTTTAATTATGATTTATGCTCAACTAGCCGTCCCCTGCCGCACATTGCTGTGGCCCACATGGGGGTTCTGTGTGGGAGGTTTGGCCCAGTTCTATTGTTGGTGGGGTTTGGAATGCTCTGTGATTGTTGGCAAACTATAAATCCCAGCAACTACAACTCCCAAATGTCAAGATTCTATTTTCCCCAAACTCCACCAGTGTTCACGTTTGGGCATATTGAGTATTCTTGTAGAGTTTGGTCCAGATCCATCATTGTTTGAGTCCACAGTGGATGTAGGTAAACTACAACTCCAAAACCAAAGGACACTGCCCACCAAACCCTTCCAGTATTTTCTGTTGAGGATGGGAGTCCTTTGTGCCAAGTTTGGTTCAATTCCATCGTTGGTGGGGTTCAGAATGCTCTTTGATTGTAGGTGAACTATACATCCCAGCAACTACAACTCCCAAATATCAAAGTCTATTTTCCCCAAACTCCACCAGTGTTGACATTTGGGCATATTGAGGATTCATGCCAAGTTTGGTCCAGATCTATCATTGTTTGTGTCCACAGTGCTCTCTCTTGATGTAGGTGATCTACAACTCCAAAACTCAAGGTCATTGCCCACCAAACCCTTCCAGTATTTTCTGTTGAGCATGGGAGTTCTGTCTGCCAAGTTTGGTTCAATTCCCATCGTTCAATTCCCATCGTCAGAATGCTCTTTGATTGTAGGCGAACTATAAATCCCAGCAACTACAACTCCCAAATGACAAAATCAAATTTTTTTGAGTGGACATACATTGGGTTGTTAGGTGTATGCTGTCCAAATTCGGTGTCAATTCGTCCAGGTGTTTTTGAGTTCTGTTAATCCCATAAACCAACATTACATTTTTTATTTATATAGATTGTGGTTGCATTATTGTGATTGTTTATTTATTTATTTATTTATTTACCTTACTTATATACCGCTGTTCTCAGCCCGAAGGCGACTCACAGCGGTTCACAACAAATACGAACAGCAAAAATTCAGTGCTACAGTATAGAAACAGTTAACAACCTAACACATTACACAATTAATAAACAGTTACTACAATACCCATTCACTGTCGTCTCATCATCAAAAATTGTTATGTATCTATTTCTGCCCCTGCCTTGTGGAATTCCTTGCCGCCCTCCATGAGAGCCATGCGTGACTTGGGGCCTTTTAGTCTCGCACTTAAGACCTGGTTTTTTACTAGAGCATTCGATCTCTGTTGATTTTTAATTTTTGTATGTATGTATTTTATCTTTTGTAATTTAGCTGTAAATTGCCTGGAGCGTTCTCGGATGGAGGGCGATTAATAAGTTATTAAATGATGATGATGATGATGATGATGATATCGGTGCCTATTGTAAGCCACCCTGAGTCCCCCCCCCCCTCCCTTGGCGGTAGAGAAGTGAAAGGGTAGAAATACCATAAATAAATAAATAAATAAATAAATAAAAGAGGGTAGAAATAAATAGAAAAATAATAACAATGATTTTAAAAGAAGGAGGTGTGAATGATCACTACCATTCAGTTCTTGTGGGTTTTTTCGGGCTATATGGCCATGTTCTAGAGGCATTTCTCCTGACGTTTCGCCTGCATCTATGGCAAGCATCCTCAGAGGTGAGGTCTGCTGGAGCTGGGAAAAAAGGGGTTTATATATCTGTGGAATGACCAGGGTGAGACAAAGGGCTTTTGTAAGTTGGGCTAGGTGTGATCTTTCAACTGACCACCTTGATTAGCATACAATGGGCTGACCGTGCCTGGAGCAAACTCTTCTTGAAGGGTGATTAGATGTCCCTGCCTGTTTTTCTCTCTGCTGTTTTTGCTGTTGCAATTTTATTTTTTAATACTGGTAGCCAGATTTTGTTCATTTTCATGGTTTCTTCCTTTCTGTTGAAATTGTCCACAAGTTTGTGGATTTCAATGGCTTCTCTGTGTAGTCTGACATGGTGGTTTAGAATAAAAAATTCTAAAATTGCAACAGCAAAAACAGCAGAGAGAAAAACAGGCAGGGACATCTAATCACCTTTCAAGAAGAGTTTGCTCCAGGCACAGTCAGCCCATTGTATGCTAATCAAGGTGGTCAGTTGAAAGATTCACACCTAGCCCAACTTACAAAAGCCCTTTGTCTCACCCTGGTCATTCCACAGATATATAAACCTCCTTTTTCCCAGCTCCAGCAGACCTCACCTCTGAGGATGCTTGCCATAGATGCAGGCAAAACGTCAGGAGAAATCATAGAATCACAGAATCAAAGAGTAGGAAGAGACCTCATGGGCCATCCAGTCCAACCCCCTGCCAAGAAGCAGGAATATTGCATTCAAATCACCCCTGACAGATGGCCATCCAGCCTCTGTTAAAAGCTTCCAAAGAAGGAGCCTCCACCACACTCCGGGGCAGAGAGTTCCACTGCTGAACAGCTCTCACAGTCAGGAAGTTCTTCCTAATGTTCAGATGGAATCTCCTTTCTTGTAGTTTGAAGCCATTGTTCCATGTCCTAGTCTCCAGGGAAGCAGAAAACAAGCTTGCTCCCTCCCTGTGACTTCCTCTCACATATTTATACATGGCTATCATATCTCCCTCTCAGCCTTCTCTTCTTCAGGCTAAACATGCCCAGCTCCTTAAGCCGCTCCTCATAGGGCTTGTTCTCCAGACCTTTTATCATTTTAGTCGCTCTCCTCTGGACACATTCCAGCTTGTCAATATCTCTCTTGAATTGTGGTGCCCAGAATTGGACACAATATTCCAGATGCGGTCTAACCAAAACAGAATAGAGGGGTAGCATTACTTCCCTAGATCTAGACACTATGCTCCTATTGATGCAGGCCAAAATCCCATTGGCTTTTTTTGCCCAACTCCTGCTGTTAGGAATTGTTGTCCACGAGGACTCCAAGAACGAGTGATTCGGCCATGAAAGCCTTCGACAATACATTGATCACTACCATTAATTAGGCAGTGGGTGGTGGGGGGGGATTAATAAACGGGCATCACCCCGAGGGCCACAGAATTCTGCAAAGCAGAAGAGAGACCCAATCGCTTGATGCCCAGAGGTTTCCCTTTTTTCTTTGGTGTCATATTGGTGGCCTATCGGGGCTGCTGAGTCCGCCTCCACTATGACAAATCAACTCCATCATCCACAGCATGGGGAAAGGGAGTGTAGCCAGCAAGGTGAAAGGGAGAGATCTGCAGAAGGGAGGAAGAGAGGCAGGCAGTGGGGGTGGGGGGGGGGGGGGGAGGAGAGATACATACAAACAATAACTGTATATGGTATATATGTATAGATGTGTGTATATAGAGAGAGATCCATTCAAGATCAAAAGGGACACTAGGCGATGGAGGATGGATGGAGAGATGTGGTCCTTCCTGAAAATGCTGGGATGCAGGATGCTCTGTAGGGAGATGGAGAGATGTGGTCCCTCCTGCAGATGCTGGAGGTAGCCATGGGCTTCCTTCAAGCCAACCTCTGCCTCCTTACCCACATCCCAGGCTTTTTTTCTTTTTGCCACCCACCTCCTTCCCTTTGCTCCGGATTGCGGTGATGCCTTACCTGACTTGTTGCTGCTGCTGCTGCTATGAAGACTGCCACCCTGCGCTTCTTCCTCCTCCTGCTTCTGCTGCTTTTCCTGCAAAGGGGGGGGGGGGGAGCAGGGGCGAAGAAGCGGTTTTCAGCAAAGCCGTAAATCAGGCCGGCGCCCACGGACACGCGCCCACGCCCCCTCGCGCCCAGGGAAAGGAGGCGGGGCTGAGACAGGCCAGGCCAGGCCAGGGAGGCTGAGTATCCCTTCTCTGCCTGCATCTGTACTGTGGATGAAAGGCAGCTTGGCCCCAGCTGCCATGGTTCAATCTTCTATATAAATAAAAATGTCATGTTCTTTTGTGGGATTAACAGAACTCAAAAACCACTGGAAGAATTGACACCAAATTTGGACACAAGACACCTAACAACCCAATGTATGTCCTTCACTAAAAAAAAAAAAGTAATTTGGGAGTTGTAGCTGCTGGGATTTATAGTTCACCCAGTAGCGAGGGGGGTGGGGTTCAACACCCCCCCCCCCCGAAATGTTTCAGATTTTTTTAAAAATGGTTTACTCATGAATTTGAACTGGTTAACCAAATCCCCATGCTAAGTCTATGAGATACAAAATAATTAAGAGTCCCTCCAGAACTGCAAGCACTATCTCAGGCAAATATTGACAATTTATTAACATTGTCATTGTTGTTGTTCATTCGTTCAGTCGTCTCCGACTCTTCGTGACCTCATGGACCAGCCCACGCCAGAGCTCCCTGTCGGCCGTCACCACCCCCAGCTCCTTCAAGGTCAGTCCAGTCACTTCAAGGATGCCATCCATCCATCTTCCTCTTGGTCGGCCCCTCTTCCTTTTACCTTCCACTTTCCCCAGCATAATTGTCTTCTCTAGGCTTTGCTGTCTCCTCATGATATGGCCAAAGTACTTCAACTTTGTCTCTAGTATCCTTCCCTCCAATGAGCAGTCGGGCTTTATTTCCTGGAGAATGGACTGGTTGGATCTTCTCGCAGTCCAAGGCACTCTCAGAACTTTCCTCCAACACCACAGCTCAAAAACATCTCTCTTACTTCGCTCAGCCTTCCCTAAGGTCCAGCTCTCATAGAATCATAGAATTATAGAATCAAAGAGTTGGAAGAGACCTCATGGGCCATCCAGTCCAACCCCCTGCCAGAACTGCAAGCACTATCTCAAGCAAATATTGACAATTTATTCACACTGTCATTTCTTGCAGCAATAGCCGATGTAGCGAAGCAACCAAGTTTGGGGGGGAGGGAGTGTTGAATGCTCTCATTAAGGAGGCCAGACTTGGTGGAGGTGGTTGACAGGGGCGGAGCTGCAGGCTATTGAAGGCTGCTCTGCCCCCTGCTGTGCTCTTTGCTTCAGCGTGAGCTAGGAGGCAGGTTTCAACCCCCCCGCGAAATTTTCAAACTCCCCCTCCCCCCCCGAACCTTCACTCAAAAAATTTGAGTTTGTCATTTGGGAGTTGTAGTTGCTGGGATTTATAGTTCACCTACAATCAAAGAGCATTTTGAACTCCACCAATGATGGAATTGAACCAATCTTGGCAGATAGGACTCCCATGACCAACAGAAAACACAAGAAGGGTTTGCTGAGCAGTGTCCTTGAGTTTGGGAGTTGTAGTTCACCTGCATCCAGAGAGCACTGTGGACTCAAACAATGATGCTGGAGGGAGCCATGGGCTTCCTTCAAGCCAACCTTGGCACAATTTATTTATTTAGAAGTTTTCTATACCGATCTTCTCACCTCCAAGAGGGACTCAGATCCAGTTCACAACATGTGCTCATATACAAAAATACAAACCACACAATGCGTCATCATTACACAATTAAAAACATATTACAATACAACATCGTCATCATCACACTTACATAGCCACGTCGTCAAAACATTCCTGGTCATAATTCACAGTTATTCATTCTGGAGCGGAGCACAGGGAGCATACAACTCCTCTGCTGCACCAGCTCCACTGGCTGCCGATTTGCTACCGGGCTCAATTCAAAGTGCTGGTGTTGGCCTTTAAAGCCCTAAACGGTTCTGGCCCAACCTACCTATCCGAACGTATCTCGGCCTATCAGCCCACCAGGACCCTAAGATCTTCTGGGGAGGCCTTGCTCTCTATCCCGCCTGCTTCACAGGTGCGGCTGGCGGGGACGAGAGACAGGGCCTTTTCTGTGGTGGCCCCTCGGCTGTGGAACGCCCTTCCCATGGAGGTAAGATCAGCCCCCTCGCTAATGGTGTTCCGAAGGAGATTAAAAACTTGGATGTTTGAACAGGCATTTGGTTAATCAGTGCAATGAATGTGACGATTACAGGAATGGAAATATGGACGACGAATTTGGATCACGACTCTAGTTATGAGATGCATTGTGTTGTTATTGTTGTGTCAATATTGTATATTGTGCTCTAATGGTTTTAAATTGTATATCGTTGATTGATCTTATCCTTGTTGTAAACCGCGTTGAGTCGCCTGTTAGGCTGAGAAACTGCGGTATACAAGTAAAGTAAATAAATAAATAAATAATAAAATGACTCTGGCACAAGCACAATCTGAGCTCTCCTGACAGATCATAGAATCATAGAATCAAAGAGTTGGAAGAGACCTCCTGGGCCATCATCCAGTCCAACCCCATTCTGCCAAGAAGCAGGAATATTGCATTCAAATCACCCCTGACAGATGGCCATCCAGCCTCTGTTTAAAAGCTTCCAAAGAAGGAGCCTCCACTACACTCCGGGGCAGAGAGTTCCACTGCTGAACGGCTCTCACAGTCAGGAAGTTCTTCCTCATGTTCAGATGGAATCTCCTATCTTGTAGTTTGAAGCCATTGTTTCGCGTCCTATTCTCCAGGGAAGCAGAAAACAAGCTTGCTCCCTCCTCCCTGTGACTTCCTCTCACATATTTATACATGGCTATCATATCTCCTCTCAGCCTTCTCTTCTTCAGGCTAAACATGCCCAGCTCCTTAAGCCGCTCCTCATAGGGCTTGTTCTCCAGACCCTTGATCATTTTAGTCACCCTCCTCTGGACACATTCCAGCTCGTCAATATCTCTCTTGAATTGTGGTGCCCAGAATTGGACACAATATTCCAGGTGTGGTCTAACCAAAGCAGAATAGAGGGGTAGCATTACTTCCCTAGATCTAGACACTATGCTCCTATTGATGCAGGCCAAAATCCCATTGGCTTTTTTGCCGCCACCTCACATTGTTGGCTCATGTTTAACTTGTTGTCCACGAGGACTCCAAGATCTTTTTCACACGTACTGCTCTCAAGCCAGGCATTGTCCCCCATTCTGTATCTTTGCATTTCGTTTTTTCTGCCTAAGTGGAGTATCTTGCATTTGTCACTGTTGAACTTCATTTTGTTAGTTTTGGCCCATCTCTCTAATCTGTCAAGATCGTTTTGAATCCTGCTCCTGTCCTCTGGAGTATTGGCTATCCCTCCCAATTTGGTGTCATCTGCAAACTTGATGATCCTGCCTTCTAACCCTTCATCTAAGTCATTAATAAAGATGTTGAACAGGACCGGGCCCAGGATATGGCAATGTAGACAATCCAGTTCAAATCAGATAGCATGGATTATCTAATTTGTTAATCTGGATTATTTGGCAGTGTAGAAGGGGTCTTGGTTCACACCAATAAAGGTTGTTTCACACCACTTTAATTGCCATTGAAGCTGCGGAAAAAACTGCCATGGATCAATGCTATAGAATCATGGAAGTTGTAGTTTAACAAGGTTTTTATCACCTCCCCCGCCAAAAAGTGCTGGTTGCCTCGACAAACTATAATTCCCAGTATATAACTCCACTGTATTGAGTCATAGCAGTTAAAGCATTGTCGATCTGCATTAATTCTACAGTGTAGATCAGGCATGGGCAAACTTTGGCCCTCCAGGTGTTTTGGACTTCAACTCCAACAATTCCTAACAGTCGGTAGTCCAGCCAGTAGTCCAAAACACCTGGGGTAGGGGGCAAAGTTTTCCCATGCCTGGTGTAGATGCACCTCAATTTGTTTGCTGTATCCATCCTTGAGAATAATTCATGATTAGCATACAGCTAGGGATGCAATTATTTAATTCTTGCATGAAACAGCAAATAATTGCAAATATTTTCTACCTGTAGTCTATTCCTTCAGGAAGATCAGAGCAGCTTCTGTGGTACGCGCTGGCACTGGCCTGGTTGAAAGTAGTCTCAAACTACATTAATTTGACAGTGTAGAGACACCCAGAGTAGAAATGCTAGAGAAATTATAGAATGCATTCTGCCTCTGCTCAGAGGTCTCCTTGCTTGCTGGGTATCCAGAGCAGTAAAACTAGAGCCATTGTTGGGTGCAGCTGTACTGTAGAATGAATGCAGTTTGATACCACTTGAATACTGCCATGTCTCCATGCTAGGGAATCCTAGGAGTTGCAGTTGGGTGAGGCACTCGCACTCTTTGGCAGAAAAGGCGAATCTTAGGATTTCATAGCATTGGATTATGGCAGTTAAAGCAGGATCAAACTGACTTAATTCTATAATATAGATGGATCTCTGGATCAATTAAACTCTGGTGGGCATAGTGGTGTGAATGACTGGAGAACAGGGTTCAAATCCTTGCTCCGTCATAGAAACCCACTGGATGACCTTGGGCAAGTCACACTCTCTCAGGATGCATCTACACTGCAGAATTCATTCAGTTTTACAGTATTTGAGCCATTTATCCTCAGGCATTCAAATATTACCATAACATTTTCTCCCTCCTTGGAGAAGCACGTGTTAGGCCAGACCCCGCTTTCCTGCAGCCTGCCAACGTATAGTTCCAAAACTTCCATAACTTCGTAACTTCAAAACACCAAATGCATCCTTTCCCTAAGAACAATGCCAGGGACCAGATCTCTGTTTTCCATACAGCAGAACCTGACTCCCTGCACAAAATCTAAGACTCCAAAAGTACACTTCTTCCTCTTCCCTTGAGAAAGAAGCCCCAAAGTGACCAGACTGCTCCTGTGCAAATCTGCCACTATCCATAGGTACACTATCTCCCTCCTTCCCATGGAGCAGAGCATAGCAGATGAACCAGACTCCTCAGGTCGGTCACAATTTGAGCGTTATTAGACTGAGTTTTTTATAG